AGAGAACGGCTGATTTCTGATCGACCGCTCAATCAACTACTCACTGTCAGCATGAGTCATCCGAACTGCAAACGACCGATCGCGTATCGAATAATTTACGAGGACAACTACTGCCGTTTACTGCGTTCATGTTTAGTAATCAAGCGTTACTTCTTCCCAACTGCGAAAGATAAAGTAATTACCATTGATGAGATTAAACGCGTATTCTTCAAAAAGCAAGAGACACCTGCGGATTTGTTCAAAGCCAAAGATTGGGGAATGACTGCATCGCCGATCTGGTGGGCATGCGATTTTGCAAGGTTGGTTCTGTCCTCGACGGGAAAACTTCTTATTGTTGTTGATCACTTTCAGCATCACAATGATTAATCCATCAGCATTGATCAGGCTCTGATTTCTGGTTACAGCAAGAGTAACTTCTAGCTGTATGGTCAGGGTCTAAGTTCTAGTAACTCCTGATCGCAAATCCTTAGCGACTCTCAAATTCCATACCTAAAACTTATTGTTTCACTCACGATCAGAAACCTATCGGCAATTGACAGTAAACTCGTCGGAACTTTGAACGATAGTCGTCAAATCGTGAACATTTTATTCTCAATAAACATTTGAGATCAATGCTGATTTCAGAGGATTTCATGGTAAAGATACGAATTACTATAACGTCGTAATCGATACGGGTACTCGTATAATGAAGGGCTTCTCGGTGGTGAGCATTGGTGATTTCCTATCGCAATTAAGACCGTTGGTGGACAACGACAAATTCGTTTCGGATAGGTTACCGTCATGCGCCGATCGTGTTATCAACAAAGACACTCCGCAGCAATCTTTAATCGAAAATGGTAATGGCAATCAGGTGAATAACGTTTGCAATAAGAGGGATATGAATGCGAACGATAGTGACAGCGATGGTACTGTTAGCAATACGGATAACGAAAGTGACGACAATAATATCAATGTTGGCAGTGATAAACTTAACGATAGTAACAATAGAACTGTTGATATCAAATTAGAAGCCTAGTGGTCATATCGGATGTTCGGCTGATTTTATTCGTTGTTTGCTTCGAACGAATCGACGATGCTGATAACTACTTTCAAAGTCTGTGATATTTGCTCGGTTAATTGTTCAACCCATTATCGATGTGTGTAATTATGTTCGGTTTTGTTTTGTTTTGTTCGCAGTATATCTCTTATTATCACTTATGACACTTCTTATTGTGTTCTATGCATTTCGATTATAAACGAATGCATCTTCCGTTAACAGTTATGTGATCTTATGCATTCAAATTAATTATTTTCATTTGAATAATGTGAAGTTGTCAAGTTTGAGCAGCAGCACACGGTGGATATTGCAATTAGATTTCGGTAAATCCTATACAAAAACCCATCACAAAAATTATTCGTTTACTATGAGTCTTCTCACCACTTAAACTAGATTGATCTACCGGCGAATATTTAGCTCTTCAGTTGTACATTCACAACATCTTCTGCTCTCCATCAGAAGCCTT